CGGGTTGAGGCCGGACACCCCAAAGGCCTATAAAATATCGCAAAGCCTGACATGGCTACCGTGAACCACCATTAAATAATTTTGCTTGCCACCACTGCCGTCTTGTGGTTAGGCCCTTGAGCCGAAGTTCTGGAGGAAACAACCCCAAGCAAACAATCGGAGCGGCTGTTGGGGACCTGCCCGTACTCACAATTCTCAAGAAACCTCGTGAGAATGTCCCACTGCAGTATTACGATTCATGATACGGTGTCTGCGGCAACCGACACGCTCCGCAACCCTGGTCTAGTGGCGCAGGTGAATAGTTTTGCGAATTGGACCAATCTAGGACGGGGCCCAACAAAGCCGGATTCCACGCTGGACCAGATATTCACAATAAGACGCACCCTCAAATTCCGCCACAGTTAGCAACGACCAACGGCCGTCTGCTTTGCTGACTTGGCCGCCGCGTTCGATTCCGTCCATCGTAAATCCCTATGACGAGCAATGGCACTAGATGGACCGACCGAATAGGCCCATGTAGTGAATGAATGCACGAGGACAGTGTGCCCATTGAAGACGGTGGTTTCTGTTGTGTGTTGGCGCTTCAGGCACCTGTTCACCAGTCTCTGTGCAATAGACTCGCGACCGACCGACCAGGCCGGTGGTGACATGAATGTACGATCGCAATTGGGGCGGGGTAGGCTTCAGTCCCTATTGCTGGTGCCTTACTCACGGGCTTGAAACCACTACGATGGTTTACTTCCTCTCAGTAAAAGTCTAGTATAGGGCTCACTATGGAATCCAAACCCCAGAATTCTGTAGAACGTCACCGCCACTAATGGTAATTTATTTTACCTTTAATTTGCTAATTTATTAGATTAACTTAGTTTATTAATTTTATCTATTTTTCAATTATCGCACGCGTTTTCGTTGCTATACATTGGCTTTGTACAATAATTTGTTTGTTTGATATACTTCTTTTATTTTCTCTTCTGTGCCCCGTAATACTCAACTCATATAACTCCTATTACCACCGGTCCCTTACTGCAGAATTCTGCGGTTTTAGTTTCCGTAGTGAGCCCTATACTAGACTGTTACCCTTCTCTCCCCTACTAACGTGGCTCTCAAAACCATCCGCCTATTACGGCAGCTTTTGCTGCAAGTGTTTACCGTAAGCTTTTAGCACAGACAGCTTACGTTCATGTATGCTTGGCTTTCTTCCGTCTTTCCGTACTTGGCACTTTTTAACAGTTTATGCAGTGCCTTAGTCCGAGCACAAGAACTAAACCTCCGGGAATAAGTTACGACTAGGTGTATATTATTTACCCTTTCAGGTGCTGTGACACTTCCGGCAACTCAACTTCTCGCATAATTGGTTCTCTCCCTATTAACCCTCAAAAAGGTTTTAGAGGCTAGTTGGTGACGGTTTCTTACACGGAGAGGGACTTTAACCCCTGAAACATGCCGATGGGCATTGTAAAAGAAAGGAACGCTGAAATCGGGTAGGTCGAAAAATAAAAAAACTCACCCGATAGGGCCTCTCCACGTTTAAGTACGTCATCAATGTTTTGAATCATAATTCTCTGCACATCCTGCAGGGCGACATTCAGTTGCGAAACATTTGAGGAGACACGCGTGTCAGTGTACTTCTGTTGCAGTTTCTGCAGGTCCCTGTCTAGAATGATTGGTGTTGCCAAGGTAAAGTTAAGTTAAAGGCTTACCAAATTCAATGAATCCGTAAGGCCGGGAGACGGTGAAAATGTCATTGGCATACTGACCGGAAAACTGGGTCTGCACCTCTTCCAGGAAGGAGAAGGCCTTCTGACGTGGAAAGTTGGCAGCGGCAAGAATGAGGTAGCAGACACCAGCCTCAAGGAGATAGTGGAAGTGATGGGTACCGGCCACCAGAGAGCACCGCGACGGAGATCCGGGAGTCAGGCGACGAATCAACAGTTTCGCCTGATGCTGATAGTCGACGAGGTTTTTGCTGAGCTAAGGAGAACAAGTCATTTGAAGAAGAAGAAAAAAGACGTTACATTAGCCTACCCCCTCTAAAGGTCTGACCGAAACCTATACTGGCACTTGAATATAGGGGGTGTGTACAAAATGCCACAGAGTAATACCAGATTCACATATGACTGCAAACGTAGTGGGAGAATAGAAGATGGGGATAAACTAGACATTGCTGATGACACGTTGACCTCCTAAGCAGCATAAATTAAAAAGCATAACTGTTTGTCGCTGGTAATCGTTGTATGTACACAAATTGAGCGATTAGACCTGTACGTGCATATGAAAAATTTGCCGACCGTGTATTTTAATGGAAACTGATAACCATTAAGAGCATCCTCCGAATTGAGACTTTTCATTCGGCCCATGGGATATTTTCTCTCTCAAATAAGACAAACTGTGCATATTAGTTATAAGCATTCCAGTTTCCGAGCGATTTATGGTGGTCGTAGTTTGGTGACTTACCAAGACCGACCAGAACAGAACTTCTAGAACTAAAGATACACGGCTACCGACGAAAAGGGCTTAGAATAGTGAGGGTTGTATTTTAAAAACACAACGGTTCGAGTAAAATGTTCTAATTATGCGGCGGCCATGGTCTGTCTGCTTGGTTGGTGTGCCAGTGTTCATTTTTTCAACGTATACATATGCATTTTGATAAGATTTTCAAGCAAACTCCGCATTCGCAAATGTGATTATGTATTTTTTTCTCATTCGACTAGATTAGTATAGAAATGTCTGACTCATCCCAAATAACCAGTACCAGAACCAGATTGACAATAAATTTCAAATTTTTGTGTTTTAACTCCAGCTTAATCTTCACCAAATAGTCTAATAACAGTATATTTCTGAAAAGCCACTGAAAAACGCAGACTGCATTAAGAACACGAAAATATTTTGAAAAAAAGAACTGACTGGTTAGTTCGATAACTTATTGATCTAAGTGATTACGCAAAAGCTGCAAATCCTCCTCTTGAGCGAAATACAGGTAGGGACTAGTGATATACCAAAAGGTTCACCCAAAAGGAAACTTGGCATTTTGACAACACACACGAGTCCATATGGGGCTCAAAACCACTTTGTTTATCACTGCATCTGGAATTTATAGGCTAGATATATGTGACTGCTGACTGCTTTCAGGTCCGAAAGAACGCGTGTTCGTACTGGAAGTCTATGAAAAGCGCTTTTCCGCTCTTTAAGGAGAGATACATTTGCTAACAGGGGTCAATTTCAAATAATTTTCATATAGTTATGTTAATCTGCTCAAAATTTGCAACTGATTATTTTCAGAAGATGAGAAAGGGTGTTAATTTAGGGCAGAATGGGGAAGCTTGCATAAACCTCTCTTTTGTGATCGAAGAGTTTCGTGGTCTCTTATTTCATTTACTAAGCACGTTTTAGAAATAACCCTTTTAAATAACCTAAACAACAGAAGGTGAAGGAAATGCCTTTAAGTGCTGAACAGAATCCAGGCACATTTTGTACTTAAAGAGCACCTTTTATGGGCAAAATAGTTGCATACTACTGCCCAACAAACAAATACCTTTAGTATCGCCGCCAACGTCTGAAATAGGGCTTTCTAGTCATTAATACGGCCACCATTATAGTCAGTTAAGGAATTTTAAGAGACTATATAATAGCATATCAATGCGCAATGTTAAAACAGTAACTTCTACGGGCCAAGTCAAGTTCTACCCCGAAATTACCTCAAAGTTCGCCTTCGGTACCGGGCACGACAGTCTGCGACCATTGAACATCTGTACACAAAAAGCCAGTCTCGCTCTGCGATTTCAATCGAAAGGGGATCCTCGTACCCATCTCGCAACGCCTCTATTGTTAAATGAGCATAAAAGCGAGTCTGTCTAGAGAGGTTAAGCTAAAGAGCAAAATGATGATTACCTTCACGTCATATGTCCACTAGAGAACACAGCGAGAACTATGGAGCCAATTTACCGATACCCAGCCCCAAATAGTACAGAACACGAAACCTTGTGCAGTTCTTTGTTACGTCTATAGTACACCGTACACGCCTGTTACTTCGGGGCTTGGTGAGAATGGAGGCCTTGGTATGGGCAAATCAAGCAAGGTTAAGAGCCCACGTTAGTAATTATGGCCCATTTAAAATGTGGATGACCAATCAAACCATCCCTATTTAGTGATGTTCTATTCGTGCCGAACCTACACAGTCTTGTGTTATTCTTCCCTGGAAGCAATAATTAATACAGTAGTCGCCGGTTATTAAGTCCACGGTTCATAGGCCCAGCCGTGTATTAAGCCCAAATCAGCTTGGGACGGAATTTTACACGGCAAAATCCGCCGGCTAATAAGTCCAGTCGCCGGCTACAAAGCCCAGTTTGC